TATCGCTATTTCGTTTTCGTGTCGCGATGTCGCAATATCGTGTCGTACTGCCGCTTGTCGCGATGTCGCGTGTAAATCTCGATATCATAATGATAAATATCACAGTGGAGGACACCAAGAATGGGCTTCATACACTGTATCCAGGTCGGGAAGCCAAACCAGGTCTTTGCCGAGACGATCGAACGCTTTACCCACTAGGCTACCCATCTCCTGGACCGGATAGTTGGCCAGATCAGACATGTGTTTCTTTTGGACGTTGTTTGTCCTCGTCCTCATCTAAATCTTTGACAAATTTGAAGATACCAACAATACTCTGAGCTGACGTCATTTTCGATATAGAAAGAAATAGGGGAATATCAATGCGAGCGAGGTTTCTCTGACAGGGAACGTTTGAGTTAGTGATAATGAGAGCCAACTGTCTATACAATATGGATCTGTCCTGTTGTTTACCTACCCCCTGTGTCCCCCGAGCCGGCCACCTTCCGAAACACAATCTGTGCGTTGATACCGTAGTCCCTGTCTGTAGCAAACACCTGCAGGATCGGGGCACCGATGTCTATAGACTCGATGATCTCGGCTGACAGGTCTTCGTTACTGAAGATTGGCCAGTTGTCGTTGACGTCCAACAGTGTCACGTAGACCTTCAAAAATCAGACATACTGTGAGATACAGATAATGTAGACCATGTAAGCAATGGGTGACGCCAAATTTCAGTCATACAACGGTGGTTAGGTATTAAGATCAGAGAAAGTGTCAAAATGGTGCAGGTTGTTGGTGAAACCTACGAATAAAGGGGATGGTGCTCAGAAAGATCCGAGCAAAGGATCCTGGAAGCTAAAATCCCCAAATCTGAGTTTGGGTGAGTTTAGACGCTCGACCACACATTTAAACATAACTGACAGTTTTATTCATTGTGACAAACCCGTCGAAGAATACAGAGCCGTAGCAACTATCAATATCACTTGACGTTGACTGCCCACAATAACAATATATGGATAGACAAACTGGGTTCAGCACCTGTTCAAACATAGAGCAAGTATTTTGTTTCCAATCATTTGAAAGAGGATTTACCTTCAGGCTTAGATCTGCATTCCAGACAAACGATTAACTAACTACCTTCGTGATCATGGCAAATAACGCTTCGTACAGCAAATATGGACTGTGTGTAGTATTCACGTCCCCGTGAATTCAGCTTCACGTGTGTGTGCAGTATTCAGATTCACGTGTGTGGGGTATTAGCTTGGCGTGTTTATACTTTTAACGTTCACGTGTGTGCAATACTAGTATTCAGGTTCACGTGTGTGCAGTATTCAGATTCACGTTTCTGTAGTATTCAGCTTGACGTGTTTATAGTATTCACGTTAACATGTGTGTTGTATTCAGCTTAACGTATGTAGTATTCACGTACCGGGACACTGTACCGCCTGCGGACAGTCTCATCACTGGGGCTGTCATACACATTAACACGTGTAGGTATTATAGGTTCCACCTCACGATCCAGCTGAACCCCGGGAGCCAATACCATCACACCCTGTAATATAATAACACAATACACAGTCACACGTGTAGCTATGACAGGTGCCACCTCACCATACAGCTGAACAACTGGAGCCGTGGGCAGCACACAATACACAGTCACACGTGTAGCTATGACAGGTGCCACCTCACCATCCAGCTGAACAACAGGAGCCATGGGCAGCACACAATACACAATCACACGTGTAGCTATGACAGGTGCAACCTCACCATCCAGCTGAACAACTCGAGCCATGGGCAGCACAATATACAGTCACACGTGTAGCTATGACAGGTGCAGCCTCACCATCCAGCTGAACAACAGGAGCCATGGGCAGCACACAATACACAGTCACACGTGTAGCTATGACAGGTGCCACCTCACCATCCAGCTGAACAACAGGAGCCATGGGCAGCACACAATACACAATCACACGTGTAGCTATGACAGGTGCAACCTCACCATCCAGCTGAACAACTGGAGCCATGGGCAGCACACAATACACAGTCACACGTGTAGCTATGACAGGTGCAACCTCACCATCCAGCTGAACAACTGGAGCCATGGGCAGCACACAATACACAGTCACACGTGTAGCTATGACAGGTGCAACCTCACCATCCAGCTGAACAACTGGAGCCATCGGCAGCACACAATACACAATCACACGTGTAGCTATGACAGGTGCAGCCTCACCATCCAGCTGAACAACTGGAGCCATGGGCAGCACACAATACACAGTCACACGTGTAGCTATGACAGGTGCAGCCTCACCATCCAGCTGAACAACGGGAGCCATGGGCAGCACAATACACAGTCACACGTGTAGCTATGACAGGTGAAACCTCACCATCCAGCTGAACAATTGGTTTGCATGTTGGTTTCATAATACCACCATACCATGTTAATATCTTGAGATTACACCTTTTACTTCTCACAATGTACCAATGTAAGGGAATCGAACCCGGGCCTTCTGCCTAACGAGCGAACGCTTTAACCATTTGGCTACCCCACCGCCCCAGGTAAGTATGAGCACAGACACACATATATGTAAAACATTTACATATGACGAGGGAGCGAGTAATGACTTAACGCCAATTTGAGCAGTATATAAATTTAATTGCGGCAAGACAGCTTAATATCGGACGAAAGCCGTTGACGTTTTCTGAGCAAATCTTGAATTCGGATCCTCGACCACCAGATACTGGAAACTAAGGGACGTAACTCTAACACTCAGTTACGTCCCCTTTGGTCACTTGTCCATTTCAAGATTGAGAGAATTATCATATAAATAGAATGCTTCTATTTCCAAATACTCAACAATTCTGAGAAATCAAAACCGCACTAAGCGGAAATAAAAGTAAAACCTGTATAACAAAGAAAATAATTCCTCCTCGAATTTCTCTTTCCTCAACATTGTTGAATAAAATATAGGCACTCACCGAGTAGGGGTTGATGGTGAACCTGGTGACGTCTTTCGGCAGCTCGAACCTGATTTCACCATAGTCTCCCTTGTCCATGTCCGAGGCGAACACCTGCAGCAGGCTGGTCCCCCCGGTGGAGTTTTCCGGGATATTCACTTGGTAGGTGTTCTGTATACACACGTACAGGAAACTACGTCGTGACCGAGTGCTGTGTGTGACGGGTTCGGGTGACGTTCCAGAAAGACACCCTTCTTAACACAACGACTACTGAACATCTTTCTTTGTGTATCTGAGCTAGCTCGTATCATTGCAATAACTTTATCGAACAGGCCCGTTCCAATAAGTGTTCTTAGTGCTTCAACGATCGTAACTCCTCCCTTGCTTCAACTATAATTTACAACGGTCAGGGCGTCTTTACTTGGATTTATTTCTTATTTCCAATGTTTTCCGAGAGGGGGGTCGGTCAGTCGGAAAAAGTGAAAAGGGGGAAAATAGTTCCTTATTGCTGAGTACCTATTGTACTATATTTGACAATTTAAGCATGGTGGACTATTGAGAGCAAGCTGAACCCGAAAATCGAAATTTAAACACATTGTAGAGAATGATGTATTTTAAAGGAAGGCACATGACGGTAAAAAAGAAACCATCACCTTAATTATATGTCATGTTGTAATTATATAAATTAATGTAAAATACATTCTTACCATTGGCCTATTTCAAGTAATAAAACACAGGTTCGAATCGGTTCTAAAATCTCTTAATTTTAAAATAAATATGTAATCTTCTGACATGCAGTTTCGGACAAAACGGAACCGGATACTATATTGCAAATTTACGAACAAGGGAATTCTTTTTTCGCAGATTTACATCTGGATAGTTTCTTAAATATGTTTTTTTTTTATTTATCAATTAAAATAACAGATGGACCTGATACAGGATACGATATTGTAAATTTACGAACAAAGGTAAACTTTCTACACATGTTTAAATCGAGCGTTTCTAAAATATATATTTTATGTATGAAATTAGAATTAAAGACGGACCTGATCTAGTAAAGTTAAAATTTTACAACAAAGAAATGTAAACTATCCTTTCCTTACTGAAGAAATATTCTTTTTTAAAAAGCATTCGTACAATAAATTCCTACAATATTTACATTTATATATATCTCATAGATATCACGCAAACTCCAGAACTATGTAATATTATAAGCATTGATTAAACTGAGATGTCTTTAAACAAATATGAATCAAAATGTCTTGGATCTTCTTGAAATAAGAAGTAGATCGAAGCACACACTGGTGTTTATTCTTAACAGTGGTAACTGCCCGATATGTTTTGGCTACCGAAAGGTTTATAGGTATTTGTATGATGTGTGAAATGACAAAATATACGTACGAATACATGGAACCACTGTTAATGTTACCAAATTGGTTCAATGCGTAAAGGTTGATGAAAGGAAGCTTGAACAGGCAGTGTTGGTTGGAGCCTAGCGTTTTGTAGTACAAAGACACTTTAACTCTCTTATCGCTAGGAGAAGCACCGAAGGTTGTAGTCAGGGGTTTTCAAAAGTGGGAGTAATTTATGTCTACTTTAACGACAAACGTTGCATCAACTCCGAACTTAACAAGTAACAGAGAAGCCCATCTGTGTGATTGCCACTGTCGCAGGTTTTCATGCCAGGTACTTTATCAAACATCCCAGCTCCCCGCTTTGCATAGGAACTATAGTTAAGGCGAACACAGAAATAACAATAGCAAAGAGCTGCTTCCATTCCAAGTTTCAACAGTTCACTTTAAGAACGCATACTGTTATGTTTATATATACGTAAATGGTTTTCAAGCCATTGTGAAACTTGATACTTTTTCAAGAAGCATCATAAAAATACAGATGGACGGCAGATAATTCAGGATTAACAAATAATTGTATTCTTTCGGCAGGAGTGACATTTGCAGGCGGCGGAAGATGTGAAACACAAATAAGCAGTACTGTGGATAGGAGCCCAAGGCCCATTCCGTAAAACAGCAAAACTCCCATACTTAATGTAACATATATGTAATTCCCACACTATAACAAACGACTTGCGACACGCGAAGCGCTGATAACGCTTTGTGAAACGATCAATGATCTTATATCCATAGATATATGCTTTTTCAGTAACTGTGGTCGTACCATACAAATGTATATGTTTACGTAGTAAGATATGATGGTATAATAGTAAAGTATATCGTCGCTTCATCAATGTTTCAGCTATGTGTCTATTGAAGTCAAGAAACTACAGAGTTTACGTAATTATCTACATGCCATCAAACGTGATCGTAATCACGGAACTAATTATATCATAAAAATATATCTCGTGTACGAAATGGAATGGGGGGAGGGAGCGAGCGAGTTGACACTCACCTGGCTTGGTATAGGGCTGTTGTCGTTTGTGTTGATGATGTTGATGAACACCTGTGCTGTGCCAGTGCGCTGAGGCTGGCCATTGTCAATGGCCCGGACCGTGAACTGTGTCCGTTCGATTCTTTCGTAGTCAATTCTACTCCGTACAATCAGTACACCTAATGGATATTGATAAATCGGCAATATATTAAAAAACAACCTGCTGTGAGATGCACGATACCGTATACCCATAACTAAAAGTTTCAGGTACCCATTTAAAACTTTTTGTAATAAAACCTTTTACAATAGCAATATTTTACATTGGAGAATTTATAACAAACTAAGGGTAAAGCTTAAGGAAACATTATTAATTTCATATTTTGGGGATTTCGTTTTTTTATAATGTCCAAGAAACACACACACCACTACCCAGAGAACCAAAACAACACAAATCGACGAACCATGCCTTCTGAAGGGACTCGAGTGGCCAGAACTTGACAATTTGTACTCCTCAATTGAAGACAAGAGCTACAGTATTTGGATCGGCAAAATCGCACAAATCACCTGTTTCCGAAATGATGCTGAACAGGTTCTGGTCCCTCTCGACGATGTCGTACTGCTTGATGGCGTCGTCGGCGTCCTGTGCCACAAGGGCAACGACGAAGGTGCCAATGGGTTGCTCCTCTTCCACAGAAAGATCATACCTTGACCGCTGAAACGCTGGGGACTGGTCGTTATATTCCTTGATTCGGATAATCAGTATACCAGCTGTAAGAGGATAATAATAATAATAATAATAATAATAATAATAATAATAATAATAATAACAATAATAATAATAATAATAATAACAACAACAATTTAAAAAAATAAAAATAACGATATATGAGGGACGCAGTGATTTGAAAGGCCATTATATATTTCATATCAAAAGACACAAGGGTGAGATTCTCCAACATCATTCTTCCAACTTTTTTTAGTTTGTAGACAGTCAAAAAAGCAGTGTCTTAAGTCTAAACCGTACTGCTAACAGCTTCAGTAGCCATTAGTGATGTCATTTGATTGTGACGTCATGGTCTGTAAAGCATTGTGATGCAATTTCATCTCAGAGATAGATGTAGATATGTAGATATCGCTTGATCTCACCCAAGCGATATCTACTGTGAGAGCCATATATCTCCTTTTCCCCCGTCAAGAGATGAGAGAAACATTATTATTCACGAGACATATGGCATAACCTATTTATTATATACTTTTTGTGTAGGTACTGGAAAATTAAATTATTTCATTACAAATGTAAAACCTTGAATCGAAATTCTCCCTACCTATCACACAGGGACGGTTCACCACCCCTTGTATTTGCGATTAAGAAAATAGTTTCGTGTTTGCAAAATCTTAAAAAGTACAAATTCTTTATCATAAATTTAGATAATTATGATTATATACAAAATCAACTTTAACAAAATATATATTGAAAACTGGGAGACCGCTGTTGGAAGCAAAAGAATACACGCTGGTCAAGTTACAAAAATAACGTTTTGCGAAACGATCAGTCTCGATTGACGAGTTAAATGAGAAATTGCCTTGTCAATGTGGAACTCACGTAAAAAGGACGTCAACAGTTAGACACTTTCCATAAAGGGAGACTATTTAATGAGAGGTAACTCTTGTATGACAATAGTTCCGTCAAAGCGTTATGTTCACTGCAGTGAAATATCAAGTGTTATGTTCACTGCAGTGAAATATCAAGTGTTATGTTCACTGCAATGTTATGTCACACTGAAGTATATAATAAAAGTATTTATCTGTAAAACTTTGGAATGTCTATGTACATGTTTATATTTATCTATATGACAGTTATTTGAATACCACTTCTATTTTGTTAAGTATGTTTATTAAACTATTCTGTACAATGTATGATGTAATTTATATAGGGGAGAGATATTCATATCGGGTTAACCTTGTTTTTAAATCCCCATCCAATATACATATGATTGTAGAAATATATATACTGTTTAACTTATATAGTTTCAAAATACAAATGCATTACCTCTTCAACATTCTACGCTATAATATTTTCTGTTAATGTTTCTCAATAAAAACATTACAAATTGGAATTTACATCTCTGAGTCCAAAGTCATGTATACATGCCATACCGGTACACACTACCTGACATGAGCGTTTGAAGTTGTCATGTATGCCTACATTTTTTTAAGTTGGGGATAACCCCCAAACCTTCTCGCGCCTCACAAGAAGATTAGACTATATGGTCCCCAGTGAGCTGACAATAAGTGCACACTGATCCATTGGTAATATGAAGCTCTTTGAACATGCTTAAAAATTATGGATTTGATAGAAAAAATATCAAATCAAATCGAACATCCCCCCACAAGTCACAAATTCTGCTCCTGGAAGAAAAATGGCTTTATACATAATTTACCCTTCAGAATTTAAGGGTTACTTCGAACGACAAACATAATAGAACTTGCTTCTACGATGTTTTTTATAACAAACGAATTAAACATTTTTTGACATTCATTGTGTTCCTTGCATCCTGGTATTTAGATACAGTAGATGCGTTGTTAATAATGACATCCATTTCCAATTGCGTATCTTCTACAGAAATGTTAGGCTTCCAAACCAGGTAACCATCTTCCCAACTCAAACGTGAGATCATCTCGGCCAGAAAGTCAAGGATCGACGGATTTATTGCTAGGCCAAACAACAACACGTTGGTTAATCTTGACAAAAGCTCCATAGTCCTTGTCATAAGAGACAATAACACATTATATTGCACTACTCTTACAACACCTAATTGGTGATGAGTGAGTGAGTGAGTGAGATGGGTTTAACGCTTATTATACCATCCATGTTACAGCGGGAGATACCAAGAAGGGGTTTCAAAGATTGTAGCCGTATCGGGAATCGAACCCGCGCATGATGATGACCTTTTAAATCTAACGCTTACCCACCGCCCACGAAGACATTTCTAGAAACAAAGAGGTTTGTGGCATAACGGTAAACTCACGTGTTCCAATCTGTGGTCCCGTAGTTGGCGTTTGAGAAACGTCGGTGACGGTCATGTTGTATGTGATAACCGAGGTGCGGTCACGGTCTAAACGTTGAGCATTGACGCGCACTACACCGGAAGTGGAGTCCAATTGAAACAAATTCTGCAAGTTAAACAGTGTGGTCAAATGCTCGCTGAAAATCAGCAGGACGAGTAATCTGCACCTATAGTCACTACTAATATATATACACGCACGCACGCATTCAAACACACACACACACACACACACACACACACACACACACACACACACACACACACACACATGCACGCACGTCGATATATAAATGCACGCGACGTCAACGTGTTTGAGTGGGGTTCCTATGTTAAAAAGCTGCGTCATGGTATCTCACTGGGCTAGCAACCATCCAAAACATTTTCAGGAATGTACATACATATATAAAGAAAACAAAAAGGTTTGAGTGAGCAATGTGAATGTACATACGTTTCTCTATCTCTTTTCTTTCCTTTCTGTCATTTAATTTATTAACTGTGAATAAGCATACATGTAAATCTATGGGAGAGGGCGTTCTAAGTTGTGATAACTTGTGCCCAATCCTTTTCATGAGAATAAAATATGTTTAAACTAAAAAAAAGAAAGAACTGGGCTAGCACTATACACTCGGAATAGTACCATCAGCCCAACACGCATGTGCAGACATGTTGCTACATAAGGAATAATGTCTGCTGGAATTGCTGCTTGCCCCAGAAAACACTTCTTACTTTGGTCCTCATAAGAAACATAAGAACGAAAAAATATATTTTTCACATTGGGCGGCAGGTATTAATCAATTTGTTTTGTTGGTTAATATAGGAGAAAGAGACAAAACACGAGAAGAGCGTAGTGTACAAATCACCTTGAAGGCATAGTCATTGGGATCAACGTTTACTCCATCTGGTGAAATTGCTTTAATTTCTTCAACCAGTTCAAAACTCAGCTTTGCATCTTCATCCGGATCTTTTGCAAGGATGGTTGTGACATACTCTCCCTTCTGAGCATCTGTATGTACAGGAGAGGTGAAGTGAAACAATACATTATACAGCAGAAAAACAAATGGGCGTGTTTGCTGCAACTGTATGTACAGGAGAGGTGAAGTGAAACAATACATTGTACAGCAGAAAAACAAATGGGCGTGTTTGCTGCAACTGTATGTACAGGAGAGGTGAGGTGAAACATTACATTATACAGCAGAAAAACAAATGGGTGTGTTGGCTGGAACTGTATGTACAGGAGAGGTGAGGTGAAACATTACATTATACAGTAGAAAAACAAATGGGTGTGTTGGCTGGAACTGTATGTACAGGAGAGGTGAGGTGAAACATTACATTATACAGTAGAAAAACAAATGGGTGTGTTGGCTGCAACTGTATGTACAGGAGAGGTGAGGTGAAACATTACATTATACAGTAGAAAAACAAATGGGTGTGTTGGCTGGAACTGTATGTACAGGAGAGGTGAGGTGAAACATTACATTATACAGTAGAAAAACAAATGGGTGTGTTGGCTGGAACTGTATGTACAGGAGAGGTGAGGTGAAACATTACATTATACAGTAGAAAAACAAATGGGTGTGTTGGCTGGAACTGTATGTACAGGAGAGGTGAGGTGAAACATTACATTATACAGTAGAAAAACAAATGGGTGTGTTGGCTGCAACTGTATGTACAGGAGAGGTGAGGTGAAACATTACATTATACAGTAGAAAAACAAATGGGTGTGTTGGCTGGAACTGTATGTACAGGAGAGGTGAGGTGAAACATTACATTATACAGTAGAAAAACAAATGGGTGTGTTGGCTGGAACTGTATGTACAGGAGAGGTGAGGTGAAACATTACATTATACAGTAGAAAAACAAATGGGTGTGTTGGCTGGAACTGTATGTACAGGAGAGGTGAGGTGAAACATTACATTATACAGTAGAAAAACAAATGGGTGTGTTGGCTGGAACTGTATGTACAGGAGAGGTGAGGTGAAACATTACATTATACAGTAGAAAAACAAATGGGTGTGTTGGCTGGAACTGTATGTACAGGAGAGGTGAGGTGAAACATTACATTATACAGTAGAAAAACAAATGGGTGTGTTGGCTGGAACTGTATGTACAGGAGAGGTGAGGTGAAACATTACATTATACAGTAGAAAAACAAATGGGTGTGTTGGCTGGAACTGTATGTACAGGAGAGGTGAGGTGAAACATTACATTATACAGTAGAAAAACAAATGGGTGTGTTTGCTGCAACTGTATGTACAGGAGAGGTGAGGTGAAACATTACATTATACAGTAGAAAAACAAATGGGTGTGTTTGCTGCAACTGTATGTACAGGAGAGGTGAGGTGAAACATTACATTATACAGTAGAAAAACAAATGGGTGTGTTGGCTGGAACTGTATGTACAGGAGAGGTGAGGTGAAACATTACATTATACAGTAGAAAAACAAATGGGTGTGTTGGCTGCAACTGTATGTACAGGAGAGGTGAAGTGAAACATTACATTATACAGCAGAAAAACAAATGGGTGTGTTTGCTGCAACTTTATGTACGTACTGACGAAGTAAAACACTGAACCATATATATATGTCACGAGCAGAAAACAACTAGGGCGTGTTTGCTGCAACTGTATGTACGAACTCACAAAGTAAAACACTGAGCCATATATATATGTCACGAGCAGAAAACAAATGGGTGTGTTGGCTGCAGTTGTATGTATGTTTGTGTGTGTGAGAAAAAGTGAGAGCATGTGTGTGTGTGTGTGTGCGTGCGTGCGTGTGTGAGTGTGCCGTACGCATGCCAGTAAGTTAAATACACTGACGCTTTCACCTTAACCTTTCGAGACGTGCTGCGGAAAGTCAATATGTCTTGCATGTGTAACACATACTTACTCTCACTGATTTCTGCGAATTGCACCAATGACAAAAAGTATGGTAGTTTGTTGTTCTGGTCGATGATGCTGATTGTCACTGAGCTTGTCCCCGTCTTTTGAGGATTTCCCCCGTCGCGTGCTAGTACCTTTACAGACAAAACGTACCTTTGTTAAGCATCACCTGTTTTGTATTAAACATATGTTATTGCCATAGATGGCGTTTCTTCAGATAAACCGAAAATACCCGCGATGTTACAAAGGCCATGTGCATGTAAGGTCTGAGCACGAAAGCATAGATTATGCGATATTTTTTATCATAAAATACTAAATGTGTATGAGAAATGTGGCTTGTCTTACTCTGAGAATGTACTCCTTCTGTACGTCGTAGTCAAAGGCGGCATTTGTAGCGGTGTAAATAGTGCCGTTGTTCATGACAAACCTGCCCTGGGAACCCTCTTCGATGTTGTACTCAACTTGGCCGTTTTCGGACAGACTCGAGTCTTGGTCCGTAGCCTCTACTGTGATCACAGACACATCTGCCAATACACGGTAGAAGAATGAATGTGTGAGCTGGCCTGAACACCTCTTTGAACAGTAAGTCAGGAAGTGACAGCTAAGATAGGGGGAAGCCAAAATATAAATCGCCTCAGACGATCACTACTTGTGAACGCAACAGCATTGCCGTGGGTGCTGACAAACCATACTCAGGACGGAACTGGAGTTGGAACTCTCGACCAGCGGATCCTGACACGGTCAAGAGACACAACACTGCACAACGAATTGTACAGACTTCGACGACCACCCGTGTCGATAAAGAATAAGTATGATTTTAGCTATGCTGTAACTCTTGGTGTGCACTCTTTGGTTTCATAGCGATGAGTCATATCAAGGCATATCATCTTAATTTGGAAGAAAAGCCAGAAGTGATGAAGGTTTCAGACGCTTACAACTTTCGTGAAACCCACGGGTATAGCACTGACAATCCTAAAAAAACATAGCTTTCAGGCACGCATAAGGGAAGCAACTCTGCACGTCGACCAAGTCAAATGTGCCCCTTTCACGGTCATAAGAACACTTTAATCTGTAGCATGAAGACAGGAGTGTCGTTACTTACCTCCCTTTGTCTCTTCTGGTATTTTCGTAATGTACACGTTTGGGCTAAACTTCGGGGCGAAATTATTCTGGTCCTGAAATACACCGAACATGCAATAAACTTACAAGTGGATACTTCTCTATCTAAATGGCATGCTATTACCAGAAGGACAAACTGCATATGTGATGTTATTACATCCTGCCGTAATACATTATCAATTCCAAAAGTTTTATCTGAAAAACATGAAATCAATCATCGTGGGCAACGTATCCGATAAAAAAAACTGTCAGCTGTATTGTTCTTCTTTCCATCTAACTAAGAGTTGGAACATGTTTCCCAAGTGAAAAATACTTGGATATTTGGCTTTTCTTGTAAAATGACATATTTATATCATCGAATGACCTGTCAAAATGGATATGTTTGTGGCACGAGCCATGTCATGTCATTCTTTCAGAACACACAAAACTATATGCAAATGTTTTATTGTTATGTATTTTTCTTACTGATCTTCATGATTTTACTGAGAGAAACATGTTATTGAAATTAGTTATGGCAGATACACCCTGTGCGAAGCTGCCCGCTTTATATTGCTAATGCCGAGCACTGTCCGACTTATATGCTTGCTTTGAGCTGGAAAAAAAAATATAAGTGGTCCAGAATGTTGGTTTATTAGACGTTAAGTCCTTTCTTTTGGCTCATTCACGCATAAGGGTGTGTGATTATTGTTTTGCCCACTGTACCGACTCCAAGGCTTTTACCTTGACCTCAAAAAGAAAGTGTGCAGTATGCAGTGATGTTTTTTTCGACAGTGCTTTATACTATATATAATTTCCAAATAACTATTAGGCAAAGTTGTTTGAGATTTCATATAAATTATGCAGGAGGACATTTTGTCATCACTAAATACATAACACATTATTTATATTTTGTTGCAAGTCCGTGCATCTAAGATGTATCACTTACAATGACGTTGATTATGACGTCCGTTGACACTGTGTTTACGGTATCGTTTGCCAACACAATAAGGTTGAACCTACAATGAATACATGGTTCTCAGAAACAACAACAAACATAAATATAAAAAAAGGGCATTCACCAAGAAAAAACTTTTTATTCCATGGAGTAAATTGTTTCAAATGTAAAAGAAATCGAAAATAATTATTTTTTTAAACTTCCGAGGTATATATTTGTTCTTGTCACTGGTGTGTTCCGTATGACTTCAACCTCTGGACTTTCTTGAAATGATGCTTCAAACGATTTGATTGTATACGGTTATGTTTGCATGTTACAATAAAGTGGAAGCTGTTCCGGGTCTACTCTGACGTGTAAATAATCAATCAGTTACCACATTCTCACAATTCATTTAGGAATCAAACTCACCATCCTCGATCGCCTGGAGTGAATCGTCTGAAAATCGTCTCTTTGGCAGATATTAGCCCCGTGTCCGGGTGGATTCTCCAGTACTGTGATCCCGGGGACAGGGTGTAGCTTATTTTCCCTACAGTATCTGTATCTTCAGCCTGAGAGATAAACCACAGTTGACAGACGGAACTGATCTGCCACATGCCCAAAGTACAATTTTTACGTAGCTCTCACAAAGTATACTTACTGTTTACAAAAGCCCCACGTTGTCGTAAATGCTTACTGACCGCTGTTCTAGAATAGTAATACTCAAAACGTATGGTTAATAGACTTTGACGGCTGTGCTTCTGGCAATTTTACTTCGGTTGGATTTAACAACTCTTGGAAGTGACTTTCTATTCTAATATCAGGTGTCCGCTTTAATATTTTTGTGAAGAAACGAGGATGAATACAGACAAAAATAAGATATTACTTACTGGTAATGCCTCCCTTTAAATAAATAGAAGCGACAAAACCCTTTTCACATTTATAAAAAATATCTACCAAAAGCTGAGTCGATTATGCGATTCCGACTGTATTCATGAGCATGTGTTTATGAATCACTATCAACTAGTGATGATACCAGGTATTCATGAGCATGTGTTTATGAATCACTATCAACTAGTGATGATACCAGGTATTCATGAGCATGTGTTTATGAATCACTATCAACTAGTGATGATACCAGGTGATCGCGAATATTTCCCCATCGGTGGCACCCGTCACACACACATGCAAACGAACGTGGGAACCCATGCCCAAGTCAAAACAGGGAATCACACTAGACATCACCTCTGTCACCGATGCGTCAAATTTGAATGTGTCCTCCATACGCCCAGCATAAAACCCATCGAAAGGTCCACCATGGGCCCCAAATATTGTAGCCTTGATCAACAGCTTCCGGGTAAGAGTCGTATGACGCTTTTTTAAATCTTGGTAATAAGAGCATGGTCACGATGAGCGCAGAGGAACAACCACAGACGTAGCTCTCCAGACAAAGTGCGTCACTCTTACATTGAAAACCCCGTGCACTTCATACGTTCGAGGCGCCGCGTTTCGCTGTGCAGAGTTGCGTCCCTTGGGCACGCCAGAAATCTATGATTGTGGGTTCGAATCCCGGTTCGCCCAAATTATGTTTCTAGGTTTGTCAGCACCATACCCGTGCTCGTGGGTTTCACCGAAGTGGTAAACGTCTGAGACCTGCATCACTTCGGGCTTTCCTCCCACATTAAGCTGACATGCCGCGATATATCTGGAATATTGTTAAAAGCGGCGTTAAACCCAACCCACTCACTCTTACGTTTGAAGCACAACGAGTGTTACAACTCTGTGATCCATTACAATAAGACAAAGTGTTCCTCTTGACTCCGTTGAGATTCCGGGATAGAATTAGTCCCCCGGTCCCCAACTAAAGAACACCATATGGTTGTCAGTTTGGTAACTTGGTCATTGCTTGAAATCGAAACCTGGACGACGTGGTGTTCATATTATCAAATACTTGTTCGCCTGGTACAGACTCGATTATTTGCAACCCACGTAATATGGATGGAATATATCTGAAGGTGGTATTAAACAACAGCTGCATAAAGGTAACACAACATTAGTAGGTGCATGTCAAAGTGGTAAATATGGTACATACTTTAACACGAAGTTCGTTCACCAATAGGAGTTCCCCTTCTTTTATGTCGCCCACATATGAGTTCAGGGTAAAAACTGGCCAGACATCGTTCTCGTCTATGACATGGATGACGAGCTCGGCCGTTCCTTGTCGCCCCTTGGGTGACCCTAACTCATCACGGGCAATAATGGTGAAGTCGTAACGACGTCGTCGTTCGTAGTTGATGCAGTCCCCCCCTTGACCTGGCGTCCTACAAGGACTAACTCGGACCTCCGCAGACCTTCCCCGGCGTGTGGGCTCTATCTGGAACCTTTGACACCACACACAAACTACACACAGGTTTAAAGATAGTAACGATATTTTGAGTTTTCTCTATGAAAAGCAAAAACGTATAGAAAAATACAAGCTTGCAATATGAGCGTTTTAAGTCTCATAACTTTTTCTGGCTTTCTAAAGTTTTCACAGATATACTGATTATTTTAGAAGTGTAGGTTCATACGTACCGCTACCTTTATTTTAGGGTGCCAGGTTAGGATTAATTTCGTATTTCTGGAGTCAATTTAATTCAAAGTGTAAAAAGGAGTAGGCTCCATTCTTTTAAATTCGAATTGAGGTCCGTTTGGTTGCTATTACTGTCCTGTCGCTGGAGTTGAGAGGAAGCTAGAAATGGAGAGTATGAACAGTCAATGTCGATGTCATCTTGTGATGGTTCAAGAATCACCTTTCAGACTCGCTACCCAGTAGTCTGTATGTTATCCCCGTCGTGCCCATGGGTCCAGAGTCTGGGTCTATCGCCTACAAAGACATCATTCAAAAGTACGACATCGACATGACGGAGTGGGTTGTATTTGACATAAGAAGTGAGGTGGGGTGAAAAGGGGTTCACACAAAATTATTGCACATTTCTAGTGATTACGTGCGTGCGTGCGTGCGTGCGTGTGTGCGTGTGCCTGTGTGTGTGTACTCTTACTAGTCCTGACTTTTGTCAGGTTCTGTAAAGTGCTAGCTCATTGCAATACCATGCCGCAGGTTATTTGTAATATCCAACTCAGACACATTTCACTGACTCCGAGCCGACCAATCCTTGTTTCATCCCCTTAATGTCGAGCACCAGGCAACTTAACAACATCTCTCATCGTGCCCATCTCCCAACTTGTGTGTTTAAATGTTTATATTTGTAATTTGCCTTTCACATGCTTAATGTTTGTGTTATATTAGACTTCAATGTCTTCTACGTTAAATTTGAAATGTGTATTTTATGACTGTATGTTAAAAGAAATACTAACGTTCCACAAGAAAGTGAAATTGAACCTGGATCATATGTATGGAATACTGTAAGGGACATTATCGCCTACTCAAGATTCCCCATAGAGAACACCATACATATGCCCTTCGGTAGCGCTTCTCTACCGTTCACTCACCTGGATGTAAGTGATGAAGGGTTGTGTGCCAATGTCTTTCTCCATCACAGAAACGTTGTAAACATTCTGAGAGAACTTCGGGGTGTTGTCGTTGACATCTAAAACATGGATGGACACTTTGGTCGACCCGGTGTTCGGCTGGAAGCCACCTTCAGCAAACCTGTTCTCGTACGCAATTATCTGTGCAGGGAGTGAACAAATGTGAGGGATGAATTAATCCAAGCAATGCTACGTATAAATATTCCGGAGGAATAAAAAATCATATTTACAAATTGACTGAGAGAAGGAAATACAGTTCTCATTCCGGGTATACTGATCCACAGGGACCAATAACCCTGGTATATAATTTCCTCCAGAACAAATGTTCAGAACATATTCTCACACAAACAAACATGAACTTCAACAATCTGAACAAAGAAAATACATGATGCCATATACAAGTCCGCTGAATAGTTCCTTTCTAGCAGTATACAGAGCGCGGGTGGCCCAATCGCCCAAGTCACTGCAATTCATCGGGCTTCGTCTCTTAGGCGCGTCAGAGAGCTATGAACGTGTGTTCGAATCCCGGTTGCCACGATTTCTTCGTTTGTCAGCACGGCGCCCATGCTCGTCTGATTCGCCAAAGTGGTTAACGTCTGAACCTGCATTACCGATATATATCTGACATATTGTTCAAAGCGGCTTTTAACCAAACTCTTTCATAATAGGATACACTTTTCCATATGTGGGATCACTTGTGTGGTTTTACGAACCCATCTACGGTTGGTAGGAATGGTACTTTCAATGAATAGTAGCTATATTGTCGTGTAGATCATATCTAAATCGAGTTATGCCTATCTGTGTGTTTTCTATGCTATTTGATATCAGTAAGACTAAATCTTGTGCTGTGATAATTGGACATACATGACTATATTACACCACGGATAATGTTTCTCTAGATTAGCAGTCCCATGACACTAATTAATGTAGACAACATTATCATGGACTTTCAATCCTAGGATATTTCGTAGGACAGTGGCATATATGACGGCGGGTGGTCACTGTGAGTCAACACTTAACTACAAGGCCACAAAGAAAGCCACAATATACGTACTCGGAGTTCGAACAGTCGGTTGCCACTCTCGTAGTCAATCTTCGACGTGTCTTTGACTTTGATTCCCCCGATATTACGACCGGTGCCATTAACTGGAAAGACTTCGAAAACATCTTGGTAGTTGACGAGTCGCACATCGTAGCTGTTGGCTGGATACTGGTAACACAGAACAAACGCAAGCTCCCATAAAATATCTTGACTCTCAGATGAAACCAGACATCTGACAACTCGTTTGCATGCTGGTCGTACTTCCAAGCCGATTGATTGTACTTACTGCTGCAATGGTTTATTCCGTGTGACCAAATAAATATATACATCTGTATAATGGACCATTTATTAGAGGAGGGGTCTCTAGGGAAAGTAAAATATATAATAGTCATATTTGGAGAGGGTCTTGTTTAAATGTACATTTCATAAAGGTGGGGTTTAACGACGCGGCCAAGAGTGTTGCACTTACATAGCGACATGCATGCACGTCTCTCTCTCTCTCTCTCTGTGTGTGTGTGTGTGTGTGTGTGTGTGTGTGTGTGTGTGTGTTTGTGTGTGTGTGTGTGTGTGTGTGTGTGTGTGTGTGTGTGTGTGTGTGTGTGTGTGTGTGTGTGTGTGTGTGTGTGTGTGTGTGTGTGTGTGTGGACTAGTCCGGACTGATGTCGATTTATAGTGCTAGCACACTGAGATCCCATGCCGAAGCATGAATACCCCACTCAGACGGTATACTGACTCCGAGCCGACCAATCGGCTGTTTAACGATTTAACCCCTTAATGCCGAGCACCAGACAGGGTAACAACAAGTATCATCTTTTATTTTAGTATGACGCGGCCGGGGATCGAACCCCGGACCTTCCGCTCTCCGGGCGGACGCCCTAGCATTAGACCACGGAGGCGGTCACATTTCATAAAAGAACAAAATATGACAAGCATTCCTTACTTAATGTCCGGGCCAAAGCGGGATAAATTTGTACCGTTGTATAGCACATATCCCATAAAAAATATAATTATCAAATTATTATCACGATGATGTATTTGCCACTTTAGTTGGTGTTTGAAACAACAATGACCGAAGGTGTCTTTAATGCTGTGTGTCATTCTAATTAATCGTATACATTTGCCATTCATTTGTTAACCCCAACACATCCCTTTTCTCTACCTGCTTTGAGATTCAGTGACTATTTCCATCTGGTTCTTTCTGCCAACGTTATGTGAACGTCATTGCCCAACTTACGCTGTCCAGATCCGTTATTGTGAGGGCGATGCCTGGTACGGCTGTGCCGTCGGGGATGTCTTCATAGATGGAGGTGTTGTAGTTGTCGTTGCTGAAGGAAGGGATCTGGTCGTTTAGATCTTGTACATCAATGTGTATCAATGCCACAGCCGTTGTCTCGGAATCGTTTCCTAGACTAATTGGTATAGTTTTGTTATTAAGTTCTTGAGCCTTGAAAGAGAAAGATATTCATAGTCAGCGTTGTTTTGAGGGATAGATATAGTCTAACACCATCCTATCCCTGTCTGTGGGGTGTAGTAGATATGTTACAGGAACACGACATGTGCATCATATTAAGCTTACAAGAAATAGATATCAAATAGGACGCTTCAACATCATACAGACTCTAGATCATCCATCAAAAACCTGACCTGTTCAACACAGTAAATAATATTAAAAAAACATTATTACTGGGGGTGTTTAAACATGCTCAAAATTGAATACTCTAATGTATCAAGTGTGCATTCATGGTGTCTTTTGTTTGTGTTCTTTTAGCACCGTGACAGCTGGCCATTGACTGTTTTAGGGGTATCAATTTATTGGTTTCAGTACAGGATATGTTTTAATTTTTGCATATTGTTAAGTTCACTGAATGCCATTCAAACACCGTTATGTATGCCAAGTAGAACAATACCTTGATACAAAGTTTGAGGCCCGCGATGACGAAAGCATTCTCCCGATCAATATTTGTCTTCGTTGATATGGTGCCGTTCAGGAAGTTCACGGTAAAGATGTTGTCAGCATCTGCATTAACAAGAAGCATTAAATTGTCATAATTGAGTGAGTGAGTGGGTTGGGTTTAACGCCGCTTTCAACAGTATTATATCATCAGTTATATCATGGCGTCTCAGCTTAATGTGGGAGGAAGTGATGCAGGTCTCAGACGTTTACCACATCGGTGAAACCCACGAGTACGGGTATGGTGTGACAAACCTAGAAACATAATCGTGGCGAAGCGGGATTCGAACCCACAATCATAGGTTTCTGGTGTGCCCAAGGGACGCAACTCTGCAGATCCAATCGCGGCGCCTGGGCCGACTGGGCCACCCGTGCCCCCTGTCATAATTGACGCAGTATTGAGTCCAACTGTGGTCAAACACCCAAAGCTGTATGTCAGTGGTGGGTAGACCTACATAACCGTTAACGTATGTGTTTCTGCCATCACCTTTTCTGGCCGAGGTGTCTTCGGGACACCGGGTGACGTTATAGCGAATCGGGCGCCTCTTGTTAGTGTCTCCATCTTCAGCTTGTACTCTTTCGATAACAGTACCCTGAAACACAAACGGTGTCATCAATGAAAAGTGTTCTTGGAGATGAATTTAAGATTAGTCCGTTCAATTTGATAATCATGTCACTTCTGCACTGTTGCACAAGAGTGTCACTTCTATTCTATTAGTACATAGAAACAAGGGTAATGAATGTTGTTTATCCGAATGGTACGGCTTATCCGGATGGTATGATATCGTTACAGATATCCGACCTAACAAATAACGGGTACAGATTAATGGCCTGCGTATACATGTAGTCATTTCTAAAACAATTGCCCAGGAAAAAGCAGGGTCCACACTAACGAGTTTTCACTTTTCCTTGATATAGGCGGCTTCACTGTGAAGAAACCTTCCAGACGTCAATGTGCTTCTACTTTCAGAAAAAAACTCGTTTATTCGGGTGGTGCCAGGGAAATCGACACCAATTTGGTTTTTGATTAACAAAAAATGGGTAAAGAAGGTTGTTCCTTTGTATTTCTACATACGTCTTCAACAATAACGTCCAGAAGGTGGGGTTCCGGATTAAAGGGGTTTCGTTATATATTGTGTATTGTATTCAGTGGAATGAAGGCTGAGACCCACTATGTCAAGGTTTTCTTTAATTGGGACATTCTCCGGGACGTAGGTGAACCTCGGTGGTGCATCGTTCACATCAGAAATGGTAATCTCAAAGCTCTGCATATGCGCCAACGTGCCATCCTGTAAACATGGACATATATGTGAACTTTATACTGGTGTTTCCGACAGTTGGTAATAAAAGTAGTATACATGCATAAGGAGCTGGTTGGTATTAGAATATAGAAAGTACCGACGGCTTGGGATATGGGTGTCCTTTGGACCTCGCCTGGACCCAGACAGTATCGGACTAATTCCACTCCTCCAATCCTCAGCAACAATCTACGCTGCATTTAGCAGAGATTTCTAATGAAATGAAAAGCGTCTCATTTGCTGGGACTAGTCAAGTGTATGGGGTACTGTGATTCTATCCTTCACCATAATGTCAAGGGTATGAGCTACTGTGAATCTATCCTTCACCAAAAAGTCGAGGGTGCGGGCTACTGTGAATCCATCCTTCACCATAAAGTCGAGGATATGGGGTACTGTGAATCTATCCTTCACCATAGCGTCAAGGGTATGGGGTACTGTGAATCTATCCTTCACCACAAAGTCAATGGTATGGGGTACTGTGAATCTATCCTTCACCACAAAGTCGAGGGTATGGGGTACTGTGGATCTATCCATCACCATAAAGTCAAGGGTATGGGGTACTGTGAATCTATCCTTCACAACAAAGTCAAAGGTATGGGGTACTTTGAATCTATCCTTCACCACAAAGTCAAGTGTATGGGGTACTTTGAATCTATCCATCACCACAAAGTCAAGTGTATGGGGTACTGTGAATCTATCCTTCACCACAAAGTCAAGTGTATGGGGTACTGTGGATCCATCCTTCACCATAAAGTTCGAATACTTAAATGCATTATTTGAAGACATTATTGATATTACAATGTTACACTGTTAGAATATCTATATGCAATGTTTTAACACAAGTATTACAAAAATCCAGAACATCCACATCTACATGGTTACTGACCCTAATGACCAGTGGCAACTGGTAGGTTGATCGTGTCTCATAGTCCAGGGTTTTAAGCAGTCTGATGCTGCCCAGCCACCTCTTGTTGCTACTCTGCAGCATGACTGGCTCGAAGGTCTCACACGCTTCCACGTACTGCCAAGTAAATACATTAAATCAGTTTCACATGTTCCAGTTGAAAGTTAATTGAACAAACAACGCTGACTATTGCCCCCTTTTCACTGTTATATACATCGTTTATCCAAATATACATATCTCTGTACAACGTAAGTGAATGTAATCGTCAGCTCCTCACATTACACCACATACACATACACTGAGGGGGGTATGGGTGGCCCAGTCTTCTAAGGCGTCGCGATTCTCTGTGCAGAGCTGCGTCCCTTGGGCACGACAGAAACCTATGATTGTGGGTTCGAATACCGGTTCGCCCAAATTATGTTTCTAGGTTTGTCAGCACCACACCCGTGCTTGTGGGTTTCACCGAAGTGGTAAACGTCTGAGATCTGCATAAATTCGGGCTTTCCTCTCACATTAAGCTGACACGCCGCGATATAACTGGAATACTGTTCAAAACGGCGTTAAACCAAACTCACTCACTCACTCACTCACTCACTCACATACTCTGAGGGTCTTACCGCTGAGTGTGTTTCGTGAGTGTTATTCGGACTGGCCAAGATTGCGTCAGGCTCACACGTGACCACTATAACGCCGCCCTTGAAGTCTTTGTCCTCTGCCCTGAGATTACTGATGACCTCGTTGCCAATGGCATAATCCTGCAGATAAATTCATGACGTAACCGACGTGTTCTGCTGCAATATGGGAACGATATGTGCTACCACCAGTAGTCACAATGGTCGTCACACCCGGTTTGTTTTGTTCTGTTGTTGCTTGTTCTTGTTTAACGCTACACTCAGCAATATTCAAGATCCATTACTGCGGCCAGTAAACAATTAGTATGGACAAACTAGTGTTTGATATTATGAGTGCCGATCCACACCGTCTGGGTACGATGAGAAGAAGTAATGAACCCAACCACATAGCCTGACCTTCCCAACCATTAAGTCGCCTCTTAGGACAAGCATATATTCTAGTTAACTGACTTTAAAAGGGGTACATAACTCCTCATAGCTACTGGCTCTACGATCGAATCCTGAAATTCAAGCCTTTTTCGGCAAGGGTAGTAACTGGACTTTTAAAATCAGTTAACTCCCTTGCCTCGGGAAGATGATCTTGTTGGGGACCAATTCTAACCCGAAATAGATTAGACCACAGGCAACAATGAACAATTAATTATACGAACAGACAGCGATGAAGATGTGGTGTTACTCAGGAATCGTGTTCCATTTTCCGCCTTGTCTTGAAATCCTCGATTACCCTGTGTATTGTATTTTCATTCTAGTATTAGTGCCCTGGACCCATTCGCCACCTAGGCTTCGTTTTGAGTAAGGTTTGAATGGCACAAGGCTAAAGATAAAAGTCCAGTTTCCACCCTTGCCGATCAAGGCTGGAATTCCTGGGCTCGTTCGTAGCGCCACTAGTAGCTATTACGAGTTATGTCCCTTCTAAGCCTATCCTTTGGACCAACCAGATTCCACTTCTCGTATCACTTGCATTTGCTTCAAACAAAATGGCGGCGCCCAGTCAGGACGATCTGATCGATAATCAAGATCCTTATTGTGATAAAACGGGTCTTATATCACGTGAGCACCTTAATAAAAAACATGAAAAGGTTTGGAAAATATCTGTTGACAACGAGTTGGCGGTGCACATGCTTTGCAAATCCTGCAGTCGACCGAAATCTGCACGACAGTTTACGAACCGGATTTTGATTTGGTTGCGCGATTTTGATTGGACTATGCATAGATTCGTTAGTCCAGCCAAAAGGTAATTCCATGATAACAGCCTAGTTCGGCACAATCTCATTAAAATCAAATCTTAGTTCTCGCTATCGCTAAACAAAGATCTGAGGACATCCCAGTAGGGGTCACGTCAGAACGACCTTTCATCCGACCAATCAGAGCGTCGCTTACCAGATCATGAAAGTGACAGTCGGAATGTGATTTTAAATCATGCATCCTCGAAAACTTTAACACGGGGTATTCCGAACGATAGTTACGGGTTAAACGACTGAATCCATACAATCTGGACCATCTATTAGCGATTCCAGAATGATCTTTTGTTCAGGTTTAAAATTTTTAATCGAGAATTTGTCAGAATATGTTTCGAAGGGTAGTCGCCAATTAGTGCCGTAAAGCACGAGAAAGCTGCCTTCTGATTGGTAATTCCATCGGTCGGTCAAAGTTCGCGCAAGGTCGGTCAGACGTGACCCGTAATGGGATGTCCTCAGATCTTTGTTATGCGGCAGCGAGAACTTAGATCTGATTTTAAATACATTGAGTTCGGCAAGGGTGGAAACTGGACTTTTATAGTCAGTTAACTCCCTTGCCTCGGGAAGATGAAGATCGACGACCAATTACACTCTTCTTTCATGGTTTAAACAAGCAGACATATCCCCAGTAATCGTCTTGATTTTTTTGTGCCGTCACAAATACAACCTGGGTGCCGTGACAAAGCGATCTTAGCGTTAAAGGGTGAACTCCCATACCTAAACATAGACTTAGTCGCAGGGCTAAGGTTGATTTCTACAACGACACCCCGAAAGTATGGTAGCATAAGGACTCCCCTCCTTCGCCTTAGTACACTAAAAAACATCATCATGGTCTTGCAATTCGTCTAAATATAGTGAGGGCGCGGTCGGATGAGGCTTCGCTTTGAATGCAGATATATTCAGAATCTGAATTCGCGTTAAGAAGAGGCATTTTGACTGGCTGTTGTTTTCAAGCTCATGAGCCAGAGAGGTTCTGTGGTATTATAGTGATAAGAGAGATGAAGCTGGTGACGTCACAAAATATGGTCGCGAATGCGCCTAGGGTACTGGTATATATCATAATAGAATGGAGACGAGGTGAAATGTTTGGCGTCGCGTCCAACTTAATTGCACTTATATAGCGACATGCATGCATGTGTGTGTGGCTGCTTGTACTAGTCTGAACTGATGCCAATTTAAATTGCTAGCACGCTGAGATACCATGCCACTCAGACACCGTATGCTGACTCCGAGCCGACCAGTCCTTGTTTTAGCCCCTTAATGCCGAGCGCCAGACAGGGTAATAATAAGTTCCATCTGTTAACGTCTTTTGGTATGACGCGACGGGGATCGAACCCCGGAACTTCCGCTCTCCATGCGGACGCACTTCCACCAGACCACGGAGGCGGTCTAATAGATATAAAGACAGGATAATAGAGGATGAGGTCTAAGTTGTAAGTAGAAGAGACTGAATAAACACTGATCTACATTATTGAGGCCACGATAATGGTGCCATAACGACTAAAACGTGCAAGGACTTCACAACTTAACATATTGTCCCGAAATCAAGTTATGTATGAGGTTAAACAAAAACAACACTTTATAAATATAGAACGTCAACGCAAGACAATAACCAGTCTCGGTTATCCGCCTTTTGGCGTAAAGGTCAAAATAGCTGTGAAAGTTATATGAATGGATCACTGAGACTCAGTGATCACATCAAGTGACACAAGTCTCTTAATTTCGGGAGTGAGTGTGGACTGCTAGATATGAGAAAGAGACGAGAGTGGCATGGGGTGACTGTGTTATTAAATATATGCTCGGGGGGTGTAAGAGAGTCTAAAAGAAATACTACCTCGGGAATAATTTGCCGATATGTTTCTCGGAGAAATTGTGGTGGGTTATCATTGGCGTCCAGTACTTCTACAGTAGGCGAAACCGTTTCCTGCAAGAAAGTTCACCAAAACAAATCTTCAATAGAACGGATTTCAGTATGAAGTTGAATCTGTATGCTATAAACTCTTTGTGTCATTAATATTACGTAAATATTTAGCTGCAGTAACCGTATGTCTGTGCTGTGTGCTGTTCCCTACAAACGAGTTTGATATTGACTAGTCGCTGCATAGGGCTGCGGACTGTCCCATAGTGTTTTCCCAATAGATTCGATATTCGGAACATACCCGCACTTACAACCCTTCTATGATGTACATGATCCCACAAAAACTACAAACGATTCGCTTCCTGAAACACTTGCCTTCAAATATGTGTAGTTCTATTTGCGATCAAGCAATTTTCCAGGTACTTATCGAGATAAAATCATCAAGAGGTTACGTATGTTTGGCCGTCATTGGATATATTGATCTATAATGATAATAATTATGCAGGTCCGGTTTCCAACTCGATAAGTAAATATATTGTTGCATGATCTAAAATACAATACTCGTACGTGAAGGCAAGTGTCTTAGAAGGTGAATCATGTTGCATTTGTCGTTATATAGATCACGACGCATTCACTATGCTGAAACATAAAGTGTAATGCTGGTATACGTTCCGCAGTCTGAAACAGATTTCATCTACGTATATCATACTTACATCTACCTATCTGATACTTACATCTACGTATATGATACTCACATCTACGTATATGCTACTTTCATCTACGTATATGATACTTACATCTACGTATATGATACTTTCATCTACGTAAATGATACTCACATGTACATACATGATACTTTCATCTACGTATATGATACTTACATCTACGTATATGATACTTTCATCTACGTATATGATACTCACATGTACATACATGATACTTTCATCTACGTAAATGATACTCACATGTAAATACATGATACTTACATCTACGTATATGATACTTACATCTACGTAAATGATACTCACATGTACATACATGATACTTTCATCTACGTAAATGATACTCACGTGTACATACATGATACTTACATGTACGTATATGATACTTTCATCTACGTAAATGATACTCACATGTACATACATGATACTTACATCTACGTATGTGATACTTTCATCTACGTTATGATACTCACATGTACATACATGATACTTTCATCTACGTATATGATACTTACATCTACGTATATGATACTTTCATCTACGTAAATGATACTCACATGTACATACATGATACTTTCATCTATGTATATGATACTTACATCTACGTATATAATACTTTCATCTACGTAAATGATACTCACGTGTACATACATGATACTTTCATCTACGTAAATGATACTTACATCTACGTATATGATACTTTCATCTACGTATATCATACTTACATCTACGTATATGATACTTTCATCTACGTATATGATACTTTCATCTACGTATATCCTACTTACATCTACGTATATGATACTTTCATCTACGTATATCATACTTACATCTACGTATATGATACTTTCATCTACGTATATGATACTTTCATCTACGTATATGATACTTACATCTACGTATATGATACTTTCATCTACGTATATGATACTTACATCTACGTATATCATACTTACATCTACGTATATGATACTTTCATCTACGTATATGATATTATAATATACATAGAAGAAAGTACCATATACTATCGAATTATTGACTTCTGTAACAATATTTTCTCGAGTAAACGACAATTGTCCCGGGTCAGTTATATATAACCTCTGGTTTCTTTGACTTCTACCTTGATATGTCTTTAGTGAAGTGCGCCGAAGACCCGGGTTCGATTCCCGACAATGTGGGAAGCCCATTTCTGGTGTCCCCCGCCGTGGTATTGCTGGAATATTGCTAAAAGCGGCGTAAAACCTCACTCACTCACTTTATTGACGTACTAGCTAAACATTAATCATCATCAACTAATCATCATTTCAATTTGTCGAAGCTACTAAAGGATGACACACGTCACACTCTCTTACAAACACAATGAAGATAGCAGAAAATGTTCTACAAAAAAACAACAACTATAGGTCATTATTCACAATTTTAGCGAAATTATATATCAACCAAACATGGTTTCACCATTACGTAAATTAGGTTTAAGAGGTAAAACTTGAACATGAAGGGGTGAGAACCACTCAAACTATACAAATACTATATCAAAACAATACTCGTCATCAGCCTATGAAGCACTACAATTCTGCAGTTTGTGTATATATTTTAGCACGGATAATTTCATAATTTGAAATGATCTGAGTTTGTTGTAAAAATACGGAAAAGGTCAAATGAAAATAAACACCCAACACGCTCCCAAACATTTAATTAACAGTACTTAAGTTATCACTCTATTAAAATTATAAATGTTTGTATAAACTTGTATCCAACTAGGGTCGCAACTTTACGAGACAATATCCCTGTCTGAGTAACGATACGTACGATTATGATATCATATACGTAGCTGAAAGTTTCATCTACGAAGATGTTAGTATTATCTACGTCGATGTAAGTATCATCAACGTAGATGTAATTATTATATACGTAGATTATGATTTATTTTAGAATGTGGCACTAATGCGTTCCAGAGAGATTTCGATCGAAGATTAGTCAATATCAAAATCGTTTATAGGGAGGAGCACAGAGAGGCAGTAAGCGTAGGAAGTAAATATTTTGAAATATTATTCAGAATCTGAAACGTACTAGAAACCTAATGACGTAGTGCATTAACATATTCTGAAAACTGTGTATATATAGCATGTACATTCAACTACATTATAACGGTAAACCAAATAAAAGCAACAGCGTGCTACATAGTGCGGATTTGCAAAACGCTAGGAAACAATGGTCAAATATTACCGACGATAAATATGCATGAATTCATCGACGCTGGCATTCAATGCTATTGATTACTTTAATCATTATCGCAATGTATTGTGAATGTATAACAGGGATTGATGTATCAAAAAGGAACGCGTCTGCAATGTGCAACTCTGTGGAATAAACAATGTTTCGAAAAATATTCATGATAGAATCAGATTCGTTAAAGAAAAGTTGACACGGGTGAGAACATTACCACAAGGCCATTGTTGGCAATGGCAATAACCTGCACGGAGAACTTTATTTCCTGAAATAAAACGAAAAATAAATATAACAATGAAACACAGTATTATTAAACGAATCATTTGACTGAGGCCCGGATATAATGTGACTTGGTGTGTGTATTGTCCTGGCAGTTATTAGGAAGGCTCTGTAATACGAGGGCTGGTCCTAACAAACAAAACCAAAAATTGTGAAAATGTTTTTAATTGTATTTTCCAATATAATCTCCCTGCTTTCAGTACACTTCCCATATCGATAGTGAAGCTTTTCAATTTCAGTCAGGAAGAAGTTTTCTGAAGCCACCCTAAAACAAAAATTCACGGCAGCTTTGAGGTCATCGTTGTGGTCATAGCGCTTTCTACAAAGGATATTCTTTCAGTTTAGAAAACAGGTGGAATTCAATTGGTGCCAGGTCTGGTGAGTGTGGAGGGTGAGGAAGTTCTTCGAACCAACATTGTGGCAACAGTGGAATAGCTAGGGCCTATACACTTGTGACATGCAGTCATAAATTTCTCTGGGAGTACTTTTCTGTGATGTCAAAAACGTGATGACTAATCGGTACTCGTTCGGTTCCATTTCTGTGTTTCCCTATCACGTTCAACTGGCTGTCAGTAATATACAAACGGCCTCAACAGACCAAATACACTTGCAATGAACTACTCAAACAATGTACACTAGTTCACTTTGTTATGGAGGCGGCGGGGAAGCCTAGTGGTTAAAGCATTCGCTCGTCACGCCGAAGGCCCGGGTTCGTTTCCCAACATGAGAACAATATGTGAAGCACATTTCTGGTGCCCCCGTCGTGATATTGCTGGATTTTTGCTAAAAGCGGCGTAAAACCATACTCACTCACTCACTCACTCACTCATTCACTCATTCGTTTTATGGCCCAAATTTGAAAGTTAGTCAGGCTTAGAACCTTTTGACCAGCCCTCGTAATGATTGAAACTCAATAAATATAGATCATATCATTACCAACCCGATTGTCAATATTAGCGCTCATATAACTTTTTATATACTGCTAAAAGTATTATTTAGACAAATATATCAAAGATAATACTAATAATGTTTCATTTACAACTAAATCAGCTTAGCGAGCCAGCTATGTAGACGTCTGTCAAAATATGAACAAAATAGTTGGCGAGAGATACAACGACAGGATTTCTCGCCATGTCATGAAATTCATACACGTCTACAAATGTACGTTTAATATAACGTAATGCATCTCCATCCGCTCTTGAAACAACCACGGCAGTGTTGCAGCGAAAGAGTGTAGCAATTATGTTAACGACATTGCTATGGTGACGAGTGTCGTGTTATTTTATGCTGTGAATCTTTTGTCTAACAGATATCATTTCTTCTCATCTCATATTGATAAACTTGATGTTAATGTATATAAATGGCGACAGTATGCTTTCTGTGTTACTTGTTGCAGATGTTAGCGACGTAACTAATAAATTATAATGATACTTTGGCGCAAGAGTCGAGTGAGAATCAAGCCAACAACACTTACTCTTGGGCCACACGCAAGAGTCGAGTGAGGATCAAGCCCTCCACACTTACTCTTGGGCCACACGCAAGAGTCGAGTGAGAATCAAGCCCACCACACTTACTCTTGGGCCACACGCAAGAGTCCACTGAGAATCACGCCCTCCACACTTACTCTTGGGCCACACGCAAGAGTCCACTGAGAATCAAGCCCTCCACACTTACTCTTGGGCCACACGCAAGAGTCGAGTGAGAATCAAGCCAACCACACTTACTCTTGGGCCACACGCAAGAGTCAAGTGAGGATCAAGCCCTCCACACTTACTCTTGGGCCACACGCAAGAGTCGAGTGAGAATCAAGCCAACCACACTTACTCTTGGGCCACACGCAAGAGTCCCCTGAGAATCAAGCCCTCCACACTTACTCTTGGGCCACACGCAAGAGTCGAGTAAGGATCAAGCCCTCCACATTTACTCTTGGGCCACACACACGCAAGAGTCGAGTGAGAATCAAGCCAACCACACTTACTCTTGGGCCCACACGCAAGAGTCGAGTGAGAATCAAGCCCTCCACACATACTCTTGGGCCTCACGCAAGAGTCGAGTGAGAATCAAGCCCTCCACACTTACTCTTGGGCCACACGCAAGAGTCGAGTGAGAATCAAGCCCTCCACACTTACTCTTGGGCCTCACGCAAGAGTCGAGTGAGAATCAAGCCCTCCACACATACTCTTGGGCCACAGGCAAGACTCGAGTGAGAATCAAGCCAACCACACTTACTCTTGGGCCACTGGCAAGAGTCGAGTGAGAATCAAGCCCTTTACACTTACTCTTGGGCCACACGCAAGAGTCGAGTGAGAATCAAGCCCTCCACACTTACTCTTGGGCCACACGCAAGAGTCGAGTGAGAATCACGCCCACCACACTTACTCTTGGGCCATACGCAAGAGTCGAGTGAGGATCAAGCCCTCCACACTTACTCTTGGGCCACACGCAAGAGTCGAGTGAGAATCAAGCCCTCCACACTTACTCTTGGGCCATACGCAAGAGTCGAGTGAGGATCAAGCCCACCACACTTACTTTTGGGCCACACGCAAGAGTCGAGTGAGAATCAAGCCCTCCGCACTTACTCTTGGGCCACACGCAAGAGTCGAGTGAGAATCAAGCCCTCCACATTTACTCTTGGGCCACACACACGCAAGAGTCGAGTGAGAATCAAGCCAACCACACTTACTCTTGGGCCACACGCAAGAGTCGAGTGAGAATCAAGCCCTCCACACTTACTCTTGGGCCACACGCAAGAGTCGAGGGAGAATTAAGCGAACCACACTTACTCTTGGGCCACACGCAAGAGTCGAGTGAGGATCAAGCCAACCACACTTACTCTTGGGCCACACGCAAGAGTCGAGTGAGAATCAAGCCCTCCACACTTACTCTTGGGCCACACGCAAGAGTTGAGTGAGAATCAAGCGAACCACACTTCATCTTTGGCCACACGCAAGAGTCGAGTGAGGATCAAGCCAACCACACTTACTCTTGGGCCACAAGCAAGAGTCGAGTGAGAATCAAGCCAACCACACTTACTCTTGGGCCACACGCAAGAGTCGAGTGAGAATCAAGCCCACCACACTTACTCTTGGGCCACACGCAAGAGTCGAGTGAGAATCAAGCCCTCCACACTTACTTTTGGACCACACGCAAGAGTCGAGTGAGAATCAAGCCCACCACACTTACTTTTGGGCCACAGGCAAAAGTCGATTGAGGATCAAGCCCTCCACACTTACTTTTGGGCCACAGGCAAAAGCCGAGTGAGAATCCAGCCCTCCACACTTACTTTTGGGCCACAGGCAAAAGTCGAGTGAGAATCAAGCCCTCCACACTTACTTTTGGACCACACGCAAGAGTCGAGTGAGAATCAAGCCCACCACACTTACTTTTGGGCCACAGGCAAAAGTCGAGTGAGAATCAAGCCCTCCACACTTACTTTTGGACCACACGCAAGAGTCGAGTGAGAATCAAGCCCACCACACTTACTTTTGGGCCACAGGCAAAAGTCGAGTGAGAATCAAGCCCTCCACACTTACTTTTGGACCACACGCAAGAGTCGAGTGAGAATCAAGCCCAACCACACTTACTTTTGGACCACACGCAAGAGTCGAGTGAGAATCAAGCCCACCACACTTACTTTTGGGCCACAGGCAAAAGTCGAGTGAGAATCAAGCCCTCCACACTTACTCTTGGGCCACACGCAAGAGTCGAGGGAGAATCAAGCGAACCACACTTACTCTTGGGCCATACGCAAGAGTCGAGTGAGGATCAAGCCCTCCACACTTACTCTTGGACCACACGCAAGAGTCGAGTGAGAATCAAGCCCTCCACACATACTCTTGGGCCACACGCAAGACTCGAGTGAGAATCAAGCCTTCCACACTTACTTTTAGGCCACTGGAAAGAGTCCACTGAGAATCACGCCCACCACACTTACTCTTGGGCCACTGGCAAGAGTCGAGTGAGGATCAAGCCCACCACACTTACTCTTGGGCCACACGCAAGAGTCGAGTGAGAATCAAGCCCTCCACACTTACTCTTGGGCCATACGCAAGAGTCGAGTGAGGATCAAGCCCTCCACACTTACTCTTGGGCCACACGCAAGAGTCGAGTGAGGATTAAGCGAACCACACTTACTCTTGGGCCACACGCAAGAGTCGAGTGAGAATCAAGCCCACCACACTTACTTTTGGGCCACACGCAAGAGTCGAGTGAGGATTAAGCGAACCACACTTACTCTTGGGCCACACGCAAGAGTAGAAGGAGAATCAAGCCCTTTACACTTACTCTTGGGCCAAAGGTAAGCGTCGAGTGAGGATCAAGCCCACCACACTTACTCTTGGGCCACACGCAAGAGTCGAATGAGAATCAAGCCCTCCACATTTACTCTTGGGCCACACGCAAGGGTCGAATGAGAATCAAGCCCTCCACATTTACTCTTGGGCCACACACACGCAAGAGTCGAGTGAGAATCAAGCCAACCACACTTACTCTTGGGCCACACGCAAGAGTCCACTGAGAATCACGCCCACCACACTTACTCTTGGGCCACTGGCAAGAGTCGAGTGAGGATCAAGCCAACCACACTTACTTTTGGGCCACACGCAAGAGTCGAGTGAGAATCAAGCCCTCCACATTTACTCTTGGGCCACACACACGCAAGAGTCGAGTGAGAATCAAGCCAACCACACTTACTCTTGGGCCACACGCAAGAGTCGAGTGAGAATCAAGCCCTCCACACTTACTTTTGGGCCACATGCAAAGGTCGAGTGAGAATCAAGCCCTCAACACTTACACTTGGGCCACACGCAAGAGTCGAGGGAGAATTAAGCGAACCACACTTACTCTTGGGCCACAGGCAAGAGTCGAGTGAGAATCAAGCCCTTTACACTAACTCTTGGGCCACACGCAAGAGTCGAGTGAGGATCAAGCCCACCACACTTACTTTTGGACCACACGCAAGAGTCGAGGGAGAATCAAGCGAACCAC